CAGCCCTCAGCTATGGCCCAGGGATTTTGTGGATTTTTTAGAGAAAGCAGTAAACGACTAAGTCTGAGTGACTCAATTCCCAGGTCCCACCTCCTCGTCCTTGAAGATAAAGACTGTGGCAAGATTTTCTGACCACCCAAAACTAGGTTAGGCCCCCCTGACCTGTGCTTCTGTGTTTACACCTACTATTACGCTCACACCACAGTGTATAATAATTATCTGCTATGTGTTATCACCTATGTTTGTCTACTGAGCTCCTTAAGGGGAGGGAATTTCCTACATTCACTTTTATTTTTAAATTGAGATGTAATTCACAGAACACACAATTCACCATTTTAATGTGCACACTTCAGTGGTTTGAAGTGTGTTCACTGGGTTGTGTAACCATCACCACTTCTAATTCCAGAACATTTCCAACAAGAAACCTACAACTGTTAGCAGTTTGTCTGAGTTCCCCCACCCTCTGGAAACCACTAAGCTACTTTCTATTTTTATGGATTTACCTATTCTGGACATTTCTTATAGAAAAAGCACATGATACGTGGACTGTGTGTCTGGCTTCTTGCACTCAGCATACTGTTTTCAAGGTTCATTCATACTGCAGCATGAACCAGTACTTCATTCCTCAGTGGTGAAGTGTTCAGCTGCTAACCGAAAGGTATGCGGTTTGAACCCACCAGCTGCTCCGAGGGAAAAAGATGTAGCAGTCTCTTTCTGTAGAGATTACAGCCTTGGAAATCCTACGGGGCAGTCCTCCAGGATCACTATGAGTTGAAACAACTCGAAGGCAATCTACATGTACGTATGTATGTAACATCCTATTGTATGGAAAACCCACCTTTTGTTTGTTCATTCATCAGCTGATGGACATCTGGGTTGTCTCCACTCTCTGGTTAGCGCGGATAGTGTTGCTGTGAACATCTGTGCAGCTTCGAGGAACTTCTGTATCCCCAGTGCCTGCTTCAGTGCCTGACACGTGCTGTTACGTTAGCTGCCACTGAGTCAGCCTCCAACTCATGGGGACCCATGCACAACGGAATGAAACCCTGCCCAGTCCTTCACCATCCCCACGTTTGGCTATGGATCAGACCGGTGTGATCCACAGGGTTTTCAACGGCTGATTTTTGGAAGAAGATCGCCAAGCCTTTCTTCCTAATCCATCTTAGTGCAAGAGCTTGTTGAAACCTGTTCAGCATCACAGTCAATACGCAAGCCTCCACTGACAGATGGGTAGTGGCTGTGTATGAGGTGCATTGGCTGGGAAGTGAACCTGAGTCTGCCACATGGAAGATGAGATCTCTATCACTGAACCACCAATGCTCCCACCTGGCACATAAACCCGCTGCCGTGGAGTCAACTCCGACTCACAGTGACCCCACAGGACAGAGGAGAACTTCCCCACGGAGCTTCCAAGGAGCACCTGGTGGATTTGAACTGCCAACCTTTTGGTTAGCAGCCGTAGTACTTAACCACTACGCCACCAGGGTTTCTACCTGGCACGTAGTAGGAGCTTAATAAACATGCGCTTTAATAAAGCTCAATATGCTGATTTTTCTAAAGGCCGCCTTGTCCGTGTTACACGGTAGCAATGCTTCCATGACAAAAAGGAGCTGTCCTCAGACACCCACTAAAGTCTGTCTTACTGTGTTCACTGGTCCTGGCATCTCTGAGAGACTGTTCCACGTGGTTTGATCTCTACCGGGAGAACACGATATCCCTCTGCCGCCTGTCTACCGTGCCTCACAAAGAGCAGGTGAACACTTCGGCTCATTCCCATTACAGACGCAGTGACTGCCCTCTCGTCCCTCCTAGGTATGTCGCTCTACCCTTCAACTTCCCTCTTCTCTTGCCCTGTCAGCCCTGCCCTTTTCTCCCAGGTGCCAGCTCTGACTGGCACTGCCATTGCTTCCATTTGATCCTGCTTCCCTTCTTTAGCCCTGACTCATCAACTCTGCTGATGTCCTGGGCTATCGGCACCTACGGAGCTCTGGCCTCCTACCACCTAGTTCACTTCCTCGTACCCCAGACTAGGACTTGGTCTTTAGCATCATGGATGCTCATCTTCTAGAACGGCACAGTCCAGAAGAAATATAATGAGAGCCACATAAATAATTTCAAATTAGCAGATTCCATCCCAAGTTGTTCTAAACACAGTTTTCTAATAACTGAATCAAGCATCAGTTTTTTTTTTTTAAATTTAAATTTACTAAAATGAAAACTATGTCCCTGAGCTGCACTAGTCACATTTCAAGTGCTCAACGGCCACGTGTACTAGTGTCTACCATACTGGGTATCACAGTTCCTAGAAAACAAAATAACCTTCAAGAACAACTGCTTCGGGCAGGATTAAGACTATGGAACTATTTGGAAGCTGGAATAAAGCAGGAGCATTAAAATAAATAAGTAAATAAATAAAACCCCTGAGTACTAAGGATTCCAAGCTCTGTGTTTTATTCATTCAACAAGCATTTATTAAATACCCTCTCAGAGTATGTCACAGGCCTTACCATCATAGGGGATGTAAAAAGATCAGGAGAGATATGTCATACTTCATTTACCAACTAGGGAATGACTTCAAAGCAGCTCAAAATTTAGCCTCTACTAGTGTAGAATAGCCTAAACCTAGCATTCTAGAGGCTGCACTTCAAAATTCCACTTGCACATCAAACAAGACATAAAACACCATTTCCCTACAGTGGCAGTTTTATAGTATGGTTAGGGGTTTAAGTCAGTCCCTAAAAGTTGACTGAACCCATAATAAAGTTGAAATATTACAGGGTTGCAGTTTTGCTTACGTCTAAAATAAAAACTATGAGTCGTCCTCTTCTTCTAAGACCATAATATTAAGTAAATATATATCCAAACATGTTTTTAACAGACTCACAGTCCTTGAAGTCTTCAGCATGGCTGGCCAGGCTAAGACTCCAGCCTTATCTGAGCAACTGGAAGTTGAACTAGAGGGAAGAAGCTGGGATGCTGGCCTGGAAGCCAGAGAGCACTGTGGACCTCCGTGGAAACACTGCTTTCAGACTCTCAGAATACCTCCGCTTATCAAGAGAAGAGACGAGGAGGAAAACAGAGGGGATGGCAGTAGACGGGTCTGGATTCCTAAGTTGTAGAGTCACGTAGGTGGGGATGAGCAGTTGAGGGGTGTCAGCATAGTGAGGGGAAAGAGAAAATGGAGCAAAGTGAGTCCCAAAGCCAGCAGAGGGCCAGCCGTGCCTGAGTGAGGAAGGAAAGGAAAAGGGATTGAGATTTCCGCAACCTGGGGCTGGACGGAGGGTCAGCATTAAAGGTAATGAGTACAGACACAAGAAGCCCCAAGACATCAAGAACAGAAAGAAGAGGCTCAGGATAGGATCCTGATTTGAATCTAAAGGTCATATTTAAGGGCATCAGACCTGAAAACTGCTGCTACTAATAACAAGGATGATGCTGACTGCAGCTAATAGTTCACATTTACTGAGTCCTGAGTGCTTTCCACAGAGGATAAGCCGTCCAGAGATCTTTACAAACACACTGTGATGTAATCCTCATCTAACACTGGAGACTACTGGACAAAACCCTGAGAAGAGAGTAGGGGGGCCAGAAAGGAAGGCAGGGCCTTTCTGGGGAAGGGGAACAGAATACATACTCAGTGGTGGTTTCAGTGTTACTCAATTTGCTCTGTCACTTCTCATAACTACCCTCTTCTTGTTCAGCTCAGTCCAACAAAGACTCCCTAAAACCAAAAGCCTAAAACTATAGTCTCACCAAGGCTCAAACAATATCTGTCGATAACGATAATGACTTGCTTCTGGAGTTCGGGAGACCTGAAGCCAAGTCTCAGCTGGAGCCTCTTAATAAGGGTTTGTGACCTTGGGCAAGTTATTTTTTTTAACTTTTCTGAATCTCAGCAGATGCTATCATTACCATTCTCAAAAAGGAAGAGAATGAGCTAAATAAACTAACAGAATGTCCATTACACCGACTAATTCTCTCCCTGCCAGAAAAGCTAAAGAGAAAACAAAATAATCCCTCCCTTAAAAAACACCAACCAACCAACCAAAAAACTCTTCATCAAACACCTACCCTAGGCTTAGAAATCAGCAGATCCCACCGACAGGAACTAAGACTGGCGTTCAGACGCCTTGCTTTCTCACACTCCAGACCTGAGGGGAGTCACAAGCACAACCTGTGCTGTGCTCCTTTCTCTAAGAGAGCTGTGCCAGACCACGGCCTGGACCTGAAGCAACTGATCCTGAGGATGCGCAGGGATGTCCTTAATTTACCCAGCCACCACACAGTGATAACATCCAGCTAAGACACAAATGCAAAAGGCCAATTTGAAACTCAGAAATTCAAAACAAAATTCTCAAATACCGCCATCGTGGTCTCAGTGAGGTGGGTGATTTACTGAATCTCCAACTCCTTTCCATCCCCAGGAATGCTAGATTTTCCATGATGATGAAAAAAATGGAGGTATGAGCAACAAAATCTAACAAAACCTACACCCTTCCCCTAAGTACTCTTCGGCTTTGGAACGTGGGACACCCACGGGGACCATCTCTCCAGCTCTGGCCCACCCAGACCTGCACAGCTCCAGATGCCCACTGCAGCCAGGGCTTGGCTAGAAAGACCTCATCATGGTGCCCAGGGCTGGCTTCCTAAGTGGCAGCCTGAGCAGTCGCTCAGAACCTCACGCTCAGGAAGGCCCCGCTCTTGGCTGCTGTTGCTGTCTTGACATTCCCAGTACTTGAACAGGGCCCTGCATTTTGTTTTGCATTGGGCCCTGCAGACTATGGAGCTGGTCTGGCTGTGCCAGACTCAGAGGTGTTCAGTTCACAGGAGCAACTGGCCTGGGGCCAGAACTAACCCGACTTCCTTTTAAATGGACGCCTTTTTACTGTCAGGAAGGAAGGACCTGACCCTAAACTACCCCTACAAAAAAAAAAAAAAAAAAACTGGCAGTTGCAATTTCAACTGAAAACTGGAATGATGAAGCCTGATTTCCTCCTGGTTCCCGCCAGCTCTCCGGGGGGAGAGGCCGTCGGAGGCTCACTCGGGGATGCCAGTGGCAGCACTGTTAGTTCCACCACCCAACAAGGGCGGGCGGGGGTCTGAGGCAGAGCAGCACACAGCAGCCACGCCCAGAACAGAGGAGGGAAGCTCAGGAGAAGTACTCACGTCAAGGAGTCAGTGACCCTAAGTAGAAAATGCAAGACACAAACGAACGTTAATACCCAGATCCAACCAAAAACTTCCGTGGAGAAAAGCATATTTTCTTCTTCTTTTTTTGGCATTTTTTAAAGTAAAAACTAGGGATGTAAAAATAAGAATTGCTTTTTAAAAATCAGAGATTTTTTTTAGTGAGAAAACTACTCCTAACTTCTTCACTTTCCTAGTCAGGACAATCCTCACAGGAAATCAAGATCATTATTCCAACACATAAAGTAAAACGGCTATAAGTGCTTCAATTTTATTATTTACCTGAAAAGTTTAACAAAAATAGGGGCATGAAAGGCAGACAGCCTCTGCAAATTCCCCCATCACCCCAATTCCCCAGGGAAGGCAGAGCCAGTGTGCGCAGCTAGGCACACACTTCCTCCACGCGGGCACTGACGCTGCCCACAAAACCTTAGTTATTCAGGACTGGACAGAGAAGCCCCTGAGGTCAGAAATCTCCAACAGTAAACTCAGTCATTAAAGATTACAGCCAACCAAGTTAATGCAAATGAAGTAATTTAAATGAGGTTTTCTTTTAAATGGTTTCATCAAATCAACATCTAGACTAGGTCCCGTTCATTACCTGCCGTATTCCAAAAGCGTAGCGTGGATTCGGGATTCTTCGTCCAGCAGCTCCTCTGCTCCCCGCTGGCGTCTGTACTTTCGACAGGGCTTGTACACATCCTGAGAAGTAGAGGGGATGTAAGTTACCAAGTGTCAGGAGGCTCTCCTTGTCACCTGGCTGCTAACCATCAGCCAGTCATTCGGACCAAGTCTTTTCCCACCACGGCCGAGGCATCTGGCTCTGTTGCTGCAGGAGAGAGGACAGCGGGAACACGGGGTCTGCCCTAATAAAGAGGTAAGGTGTATGAAAGCATGGGCAGGAGAACGATGAACTGACCCTCTGGACCTCAGTTCCCGAGAAGACTCGTCTATGCCTACGTGCCCCTCTTTGCTGAGAAACGGGAAAAGGTCAAAGCCTAAAGGGGAAAGCGCATGATAAAACAGGCTCCTTTCATCTTACTTTTTTAAGTTATAAAACAATACATGCTCACTGAAAAAAACTCCACGTAATACAGAAATAAACAGAATAAATGATAAAAGCCTCTCCGCAGCTCAGCTAGCAACACGGTCAGTGCTTGCTAGGTAGCTGTCTCACGACTTCACGTTAAAACAGCCGCCATCTTTCCAGAGCAGCATGAGCAAAAATAACGGACAATTAAAATAAAAACTTCCGAAAGCACTCTGGTACTCTCAGCTTTTTGTCTGTATTTCTTTGCTTTAAATTACATAATTACACAAATAATGCCAAACTACAGAGAAGTTCTCTGCTCACTGGTACCAACGGCTGCCTGCGTGCACCCAGAGCAAGCACCGTTGTTGTCAGCTGCCACTGAACGGATACCCACTCACGGCGGCCCCGTGCACAACAGAACAACATGCTGCCCGGCCCTGCGCCGCCCCCATGATTGGCTGTGGACTGGACTGCTGTGATCCACAGTTTTCACTGGCTGATTTTCAGAGGCAGATCATTAGGCCTCTCTTCCTAGTCCATATTAGTCTGGAAGCTCCACTGAAACCTGTTTAGCATCATAGCAACACACAAGCCTCCAATGACAGACGGGTGGTGGCTGTGTTTGAGGTGCACTGGCCGGGAATAGAACCGGGGTCTTCTGCCTGGAAGGTCAGAATTCTACCACTGAACCACCAATGCCTCTGACAAAGGATTCCAAACCAAACTAAATCCACTGCCATCAAGTCAATTCCAACTCACTGCAACCCTATAAGATGGGGTAGAACTGTCCCACTGGGTTTCCAAGGCTGAAATCTTTACAGAAGCAGACGGCCACATCTTTCTTCCACGGAGCAGCTGGGAGGTTCAAATTGCCAACCTTTTTGTTAACAGCCGAGAGCTTAACCACTGCACCAACAGGGTTCGAGAAAGTATTACTAAGGTATTATTTGACTGTCAGTTTAGCAATCCAACTAGGTCATCTGGGAATAAAACCCTACATTTATTGAGCACCTGTTGTTGTTAGGTGCCATCAGGTAGGTTCCAACCCACAGGGACCTTACGTATAAGAGAACAAAACGCTGCCTGATCCTGCACCTACTACACATCATATACTTTTTTAGGAGCTTTATGTATAAACGTTTCAACAAACGCATGCAGTGATGGAAATTTGGAAGACAGTTACCCAGCCAACCAACTGGAAGAGATCCATAGATGTGAGATGTGCCAATTCCAAAGAAAGGAGATCCAACAGAATGCAGAAATCATCGAACAATATCATTAATATGACACATAAGTAAAATTTTGCCGAAAGTCTTTCAAAAGCGGTTGCAGCAGTATATCAAAAGGGAACTGCCAGAAATTCAAGCCGGATTCAGAAGAGGACATGGAACCAGGGATATCATTGCTGATGTCAGACGGATCATGGCTGAAAGCAGAGAATACCAGAAAGATGTCTACCTGTGTCTCACTGACTATGAAAAGGCGTTTGACTGTGTGGATCATAACAAATTATGGACAAGGCTAAAAATGGGAATTCCAGAACACTTAATTGTGCTCATGCAGAACCTGTACTTAGACCAAGAGGCAGTCGCTGGAACGGAACAAGAGGATACTGCGTGGTTTAAAGTCAAGAAATGTGTGCGTCAGGGTTGTATCCTTTCACCATACCTATTCAATCTGTATGCTGAGCAAATAACCTGAGTAGCTGGACTATACGAATCCATCAGCATTGAAGGAGGACTCATTAACAACCTTTGATATGCAGATGACACAACTTTGCTTGCTGAAAGTGAAGAGGACTTGAAGCACTTACTGATGAAGATCAAAGACCACAGACTTCAGTATGGATTATACCTCAACATAAAGAAAACAAAAATCCTCACAACTGGACCAATAAGCAACATCATGATAAACGGAAAAAAGATCCAAGTTGTCAAGGATTTCATTTTACTTGGATCCACAATCAACGCCCATGGAAGCAGCAGTCAAGAAATAAAATGACACACTGCATTGGGCAGATCTGCTGCAAACAACATATATATGTACACACACACACACACACACACACACACACACGTAATTTCAGATATAGCTGCTTCTGCATTTATAACTAAATCTCACCCTAATAATTTAAAAAGACAGTGAAAATTTACAGTATATTTTATGCTTTCATAAAAAGATACAGCTATTAACTGCTAGCTGCTATCCTTCAGCTTTTCAAAAGTTTATTCCTAGATTTTCCGGAATGGTTGAAAATCTGTTGACAATTTAAATTTATACTTACCTGAGCGTAAACCTCAAAACACATTGTTAAAAAGATACGTATTTCCGAAGAGTCTGCATCCTCTCTTTTCTGGTAATTAGACCTAACAGAATTGAAATGTCCTTTGCCATTTAAGGATTTTTTTTTTTTTAAGGTTTCTGAGTTTACGCATGTATCTGTGATTGCTGAGCTGGTTTGTAGTTCAACACCACTGTTCCTGGTGATGGAAAGGCCTAGATATGCTAGTGACTATGGAAAACATATTTTTTCTAGAAAACTTTACTAGAGTAAGAAAGATTTGAATAAATAGACAAAGCATGTTTCCCAAAGCAAGACTCGACACGATAAAGATGTCAGTTCTTCACAAAGTAATCTGTAAAGTCTGGCTGTTTGTCCCTCTGTCTCTTTTCTCCATACCAAATTTCACCACGTCTAATCTCTGTCTAGGGGTCACCATGTCTAATCTATATCTGGAGGTCAACACGTCTGATCTCTGTCTGGGGGTCACCACGCCTGATCTCTGTCTGGGGGTCACCACGCCTGATCTCTGTCTGGGGGTCACCACG